CAATCAACCAATCAGGCCGCAGAGGCTCACCAGCTGACCAGCCTATAGCCTCTAAGCGGGCAGCCCGCCTCACTGTTTCGCGACGATAAGGCCAACGCGCCGACCGTGCCTGGCGCCGCCTGCCGCGCCACGCGGGACGCGGCGCGCGCGGGGACCTGTCCGCGTCGGGAGTGGCGCTCAAGGCGCGTCAGCGCGACTGACTACCGGGGGCTGTTGTACGCCCAGCTGTGGTGTGGGGACTGGTGGCGTTGTGGGAGACCTGCTTGCGGGCCTGTGGTCTCGCGTGCTGTGTGTCGGGTGGAGGATGATGGTAGCCTGCATGGTTTGGCCCGGGTTAAGGGCTCCGTCGGCGGTTCTTGCGTCACGGTGTGGAAAGGTTCCCGAAACCCGCTCCACTTCTCCCACTCCCCGTGTCTTGAAGGGTAGGTGGGGTGGGGGAGAAACAGTTGTCTTAGCACCCCAGGAATGCATTTGGACGGCTGGCAACTGCACTCGTAACAGATGGCGTCTCCGCACTGGTAACAGATGAGAGCTGTGACGTAACGCGTCATTTGTGTCCGCAGGTACCCCCACCTGGCAGTGATTCCATCGATTTTTTTCTCAAGTTGTCTGTTGAAACCCTCTTCTTCATCTTCTATTATATGGAAGGTAAGGAAGCGCTCCGAGAATTGGTACGTTTGCTGTAATTTCAAAGCAGGCACGTAGTTTGTATTTATGTTGCCGACGTGTGGCTTTGTGGTCCGAGAAACTTTAATGAAGTGTAGCTTGTCTGCATGATGTTGTTTGTAACGCGCTGACTTACTCGCACTTGCTGCGAAAAAGCTAGGCCATGCGGCCTTGGCGCGCGCAGCTGCTGCTGAACCTTTCTCTTCCCCAGTGTTGTCACTCTCAAACTGGCTATCCTTCACAAATCCCGATTAAAGGGTGTATGACACTTTTTTCTGTTCACCCATTGTTGGATCAGAAGAGTTCGATTTGATCGATGAGAAAACATTTTCTCGAAATATGTCTGAAAGCTCCGAATTTTGATTTGAAGTACCCACTCCCTCGGGAGAATTCTCATGAACTCCATGCTCCCCACTATGAAAGCAATGCTTGTCATTTGCCCTGCTTTTTCCAACGTTTGAGTCCTGCAATGTTTGCAACACACTAATCTGAAAACAAATGCTTAAAACGATACGCAGACACTAGGCTATTATCCCGCGAATTCAACGATACGTTTTACCAAAGCTTTTGATTTTTCCCCTACTGCGTTCACCAAAGTGGCTCGTTTCGAAGCGCACTTTGGCTTTGGGAAGCGGAATATCACGTGGTCTACATTGACGCGCTGGTTCAAACTTCAACAAATGCGCTTCTCACTAACTGGCCCTTGCCGGCCGCTGTACCAGTCGCGAATACTCACTAACTGGCCCTTGCCGGCCGCTGTACCAGTCGCAAACAGTCATCTGTACTGTCGTCATCCATACCAGTAGAGGCACCACTCTTAACCCGTAAGAGCTGACGACGGCCCACGGCAGGTTCTGCCGTCATGACGACGGTTGTCATGACGACGGCGGTCGCGACAACTGCGATTGTCGCGGACTATGGATACACTCTGGGGCTGCCACAAAGGGAATGAGTGTAGTGCTGTCACAAAGCGTTGACAGCGTAATTTGCAGTGTATGTTTTTGAAATTTGCCCCAAAGGTGGGAAATTCGAAAATTCGAAATTCGCTTGAAGTGGTAGTGCGGATGGTCACTACTGACATATCAGCCACACGCCGCACCAAACGATCTTGCTCCACTCACCACATGTAGCTCACCGACGACCGCCTCTCAGCACCCGAACAGACAGACAGAGCAAAACAACAGGACAGAACAGAACAGACCAGGACGTAACACACAGACAGACAGCACCGCTAGTGCCGTTCGCCAGTGAACGCCGGTCTACGCATGCCAGTCCAGCAGTGCGCACTGGTCGTCCGAACAAGCATGATGACGCGGGCACGTCATCACGCAGCGCTGACGGCTGCGGCGCGGCGGCGTGCCAGCAGACTGGCGGCGGCGGCAGGCCGGGCGCCGCGCGCCGGCACGCTGTGCGCGTCCGCCTGTCTTGGGCACGGGAGGTGTGCGAGTGGCGGCACTGAAGGCCGACGTGCCCGCCCGCAGGTACAAAGGCCCAGTATCTGGCGGCGAAGGCGCTGAAGAAGCAGTCCTGGAGGTTCCACACCAAGTACATGATGTGGTTTCAGCGGCACGAGGAGCCCAAGGTCATCACCGACGAATATGAGCAGGTACGGCCGCGACGGGTGTAGCTAAGAGGGCCTCGCACCTTGTCGAGCGAGTGTGGTTGTGTGGACCATGTGCATCGTTGCCATCCGAGGTGGCATGGATCTTGCCGTGGCTAATTCCGCATGGTTCGGCGAACTACACGCAGTTGTCGCGTCGATATTGATCATGGTTTTGCGTCGAAGCGCGGACGTTTGAGGTTTGCTCGTGGACGCAAGCATGGGGACCGCGTCGTGTAATGTCGATAGTCGAATCGGACAATGCGAAGGACAAAACACGACTTTCTTTCGCGAGATGTTGCTACCGGTGAACTATTCTGTTCCGTTCCCCGGTGTGTGGCACGTGGTTTTCGTGGCCGCGCCGGTGGTCCCCACGGGCAGAGACATCGCAGCTGACACGCGCCCCCCGCGCCGGCAGGGCACGTACGTGTACTTCGACTTCGAAAAGTGGAGCCAGCGGAAGAAGGAGGGCTTCAAGTTCGAATACAAATTTCTGGAGGACCGGGACCTGAACTGACGCATACAAAGCGACGCGCTGTATTTGTGTCTCTCAGTGTGGTGGCGCGCTGGCCGGCTCGTCCGGCCGGCGGTGATTCTCAGGGGGTCGTCCCCCGCCGCTGCGGGCCCGCCGCCGGCCGGCGCGGCGCCGCGGCCCGCCCCGCCGTCCGCCGCCGCCACCCCGCCCCGCCCGCGCCCGCCGCCCGCAGAAGCTGGCCGCCGCCCCGCGCCTTGCCGCTGGCGGCTGCGCGCCTTCCAGGGTGGTGATCGCTATTATGTTGTTAATATTATCCGGCGCGTGGGGTCGCGCCGTGTGGCGCACGCCGTTTGGAAGCTTTACATTGCGAGTGGCCTCCGGTGGTGAGAGGGGCCGCCGGGGCGTGGGGCTGCGCCGCCGCCAGCGCCGCCCGGGTCAGGTCAGGGGAGGCCGGCGGAGGCGGCCGGCGCGCCAGCCGCGGAAGACGCCGCCAGCGAACGCCGCAGAGCTGATCTCTTGCCATCGCCGCGCCGCCGGAGCGAGGCGAAGTTCCGCCGGGTTGCGGCGCTGGGACGCGCTCGGGGCCCGGCAAGGCGCCCCCGCCGGCGCCGGCACCGGCTCCCTGGCGCGGCCCGACCAGCGCACCGACGTCGACACCGCCAGACAACCTCAGGTCGCCGGCGGCACCGCGGCTGGACCGGCGCGCGCGCCCGACAATCGAGCGGACAGCGACGCCCCGCCGACTGCCCCGACGCGAGCCGCCGCCACGCCCGCCGCCGGCCACGTCGGCGGACGTGGTCGTCCGGACCATCGGCAGCGCCGGCCGGCGCCCGGCCGCGGCGGCGGCAGGAGGCGGCGCCTCGGCCGTCCGGCGGCCCCCCAGCCAGCACCTGTGATATTTTAGCATTTGCGCAGCGGTGGCCGTGGGCGCCAGGGTCGTACGGGGATGGCGGGGCGCGCGCCCGAGGCGTCGCCCGACGGCTGCGGTCCAATGGGGCTGATTTATAAATAAAACTTTGTCCATGTGCGGGACGCGTTTGCCGGGAGCAGCCGCTACTGGCCCAGCGAGGAGCCGTACGGAGCTCTGACCGGGCGCGTCGAGTCAGTCTACCACGGGTCATGGTGAAGCGATTAGCAGTGTCAGGTTTCCGGCCGGTGACCACGATGCGTTGTAGTAATTGTTAATTTCCAATTACGCCCTGCGGAGACGTACAGAGACTCGCGGCAAACATTCCGCGTTTACATATCACTGAGTGCAGGTGGCGGCGCCGGCACGCTTCCGCGCCACGCGCTTGTAACATTACCCCGTGACGAGAACGGTAAGCTCCACATCACCCATCACTCCAGCACTCGGTCGCCCAGCTCGTGTCGCTGTGGCTGAGGCCTTGGACCTCATAACCTCTTCAAAACTGCCTTGTTGATTCTTGCACGTCAGGCTGCAGGGGCTCCTTTTGACATTTTCGGTGCGCCGGCGCCCGCAGGCAGATCCCGTTCCGTGCCACGACTCGACACACCGCAGAGAATCGTCTGCAAGGGCGAGGTGCTCTCCGTTTGCAATGGCAGGTCGGCAGGAAGCAGGCTACACGTGGGTACCCCAGGCGGGTGGGCGGGCGGTCACCCCGTTTCTATTCCAAGCCAAGGTCGACTTTGCATCTTCTACACAACGGACCAAGCGTGCACAAACCTACCTCGATCGGTACCAAATAAATTTCCTTGCCGCGGTTTTCTCGCCCGCCGCGCTCCTTTTCCTATTCGCGCTTGTCCAGCGTGCTGCGGCTTCCCTGTCTATCCGGGGAAAACTGCACGCACCAGCATTAGCAGCACCAGCCATGAGTGGACATGTTTCCCTGACCGGAGACCCAACATCCACCCGCCTGCACATACCCCAAATATGGAGTCCCCTGCGCGGGTTTGGCCCCGACGGGTCACTCCCAAGTGCACGCAGTCTTGTCCGCCACTTTTCACCCTCCTCCAAACCCACATCCCGAAATGGCCACTAATGACCAAAAGGGGCATCACATCCCAAAAGAATAAAATCACAACCGTGCAACAAGAATGGGCTTCAGGTGTGCACTGACATGTCTACGTCTGCGGCGATTTTGCAATTGGCGGGCTAGCAGACGGTGGCGCGGGGCTAGTGCCTGGAAGCAGAGCTCCGAATACTACCGCACCTAACGCCGGCAGGCGCTACTGCGGCTAGGTCCGTCGAGCGGTTCCCAGCGAACGCTGAGGCCCCTTATCTTCGTGCAAACCGTGCCGTTGTGCTGTTCCTCGAAGTCAAACAACACATCTCCCTAGATTGTATTAATTCCACAGACGTATCCAACTTGGAGCTAAAGGCATTTTATCGTCGCTGGAGACGTGAACGAAACGTGAACGTGATGTGAACCAGAGACATGAATGTGATGTGAACCGGAGACGTGAACGTGATGTGAACCGGAGACGTGAGCATGGCGACAGCCGGCACTGACCGCACACCACGCACCAGTCAGAGCGTCTCGTGCGACAGCACGAGTGCAGCACCTCCCCCCCCCCCCCCCAGTTTGATAAACCCGCACCACTTAAACAGAAATCACTGCGTCCCTTAAACAGAGAGCACTGCGTCCCTCAAACGGAGAGTACCGCATCCCTTAAACAGAGAGCACCGCGTCCCTTAGATAGAAAGCACAGCGGCCCTCAAACAGAGAGCGTCGGGTGCCACAGCCGCTAGAGGGCAGACAGGAGCACCACGGCGTGCTGCTGCGCGGAGCGTGGCGAGGCGTCTGCGCGAGACTGCGCGGTGACCCTGAACACGCTCGCTGCGACGCTGCTGCCGGCAGCGGCCCGAGGCGTCATGGGCAAAACAACAATCCGAGTCTTGGACGCATCATCGCAAACGTGTCGCGTGGTTACAACAGCTTATCAAGCGAAGCCATCCGCTTTCCGAGCGGTGAACGGTAAAGGCCGCGCCAGACACGGCGACGGCCACGGCAGAACTACATGGCACGCGTAAGCGACACAGAGACGAGGCGAACCCGACCAATCGCACGCACGCGCTCCTCAACCGCGCATGCCGCCACGACACCGCACCCGGCATTCGAGCATCTCCATCGCCAGGCGCATCCCCACCCGTATCGTCTCCATCACTTCCGCAAGCTTTAACGCCACACGGCCGACAAGCACGGTGTCGGCGCTCTGCGCGTCGCACTCTGTCGCCGTAACAGACCCGCACCGTTCCTGATCGAGTCCATGTCCGCCAGCGACGGCGTCCCACACGTCACACCTCTCGCCTGTGAGGTATGACGACTCTGACGTCGCGGGCGGGCGGCGGCGCGGCGGCCGGGCGGCGTCCGGGCGAGTCTCGGCGCGGCCGGCCCGCCGACGGCGGACTCCCGGCAGTGCGTCATGGGGCCCAGAGCCGCCCGTGGCCGTCGCGCCGCCGCCGGCTCCGTCCCGGCAAGGAGCCGGCGCGTCCCGAGGCCGGCACCGGCGGCGGCGACAGCGTTCAGGACCAGGCGCCGGCACCAACGGTCAGGGTCACGGACCGATAACGAGGGTTGGTAGCATAGACGAGTATCAACTAGGTAGACATAGACATAAACGCCGATACGGAGGCCAAACGTCCCGGCTAGAGACAGACATAAGTTAGGATTTAAAACCATTACCGCCAAGACTAGAGGCCAGCACCAGAGGTCAGGACTAGTGACCAGTACTCGAGATCAGGGCAACGGACCAATCAGGTCCCGGAGGCCAGAACCAGAGAGATCAGGACCGGCGCCCAGTCCTGGTGAAGACCGCAGCTCAGTCCCGGGGGTGAGGAGCGAGGACCACAGCCCGATCCCAAACGTAACAACACCCTGAGCCGCTTCCTGCCGGCCGGTCCCTCTCCGCGGAGGCCGCGTCCCGCGCCATCGCCGCGCTCCTCGCCGCCCCCGGTCCGGGATCTGTGGACCGGAGCCGGACGGCCCGGCCTGCGGGTCGTCCGGCCTTCCAGCCGGGGTCGCCACCCCAGCAGGGTCGCCGCCCACCGGCGGCGCCGCCGGCGGGGCAGCGCTACTCAGCCTTCGTGCCATTGGTAGCGCCCTCACGCTTGATCACCTCTGGAAAACAAACGGTGGGTCGTGACGTTCAGGCGCTCAAACGGTGTCAACTGACTGGCTGTTGGGTTTCGGGTGCGTCGCATGGGTTCGCTCCAGCAGTGCCATGCCACACGCGCTCCGATGGCTGTGGTCGCTGGCGTCGTGGTCAGACAACGCCGATTGTGGGAAAGACGCCACATCAGGCGGCGCCGAGCCCCGAGGGGACCACCGTGAGTGGAACAGACGCCATTGCACCGCCACATCCACATAGCATACGGACTATGAAGGCATGTGCATTTGCAACTTAACAATAACACCTTGATTAATTCTATTTCCTGTGAGTTGTCATACATGACTATCATCATCATCGTCATCGTCACCATCCTCATCCTCGTTATCATAACCATCAATCATCATCCCGTCATCGATCATCATCGTCATCATCAATCATCGTCACCGTCATCAATCATCACCACCATCATCATCACCATCGACACCATCATCATCAATCTGACAATCGTCGCGACCACTGACCTTTGTGAGGCACAAACTTGAGGGCGTGTGAGAATATTCAGAAGCGCGAGCCGCCGTCCGGGCCGTCCCCGAGGAACTCATGCCCTAGCCCATTGCCGCATTTACCGCACATCACCTGCGCGGCACGGGGGGAGGGCCGGTTCGCAGGCTGGCTGTGTAGCATTGGAGCGACATGCTCACGATTATGGCGCGCCTGCTTATTACGTGGACAATGCGAGAGACGCGAGGCAAGTGTAAGGTGGTTAGTTTTTGGATGATGTCTAGAACCATAAGTCGCAAGTCATCCTTATAGAAGGTTTAAGGTTTGTGAGCCATCGGGTTCGATGGTAGTAACGTCTTAACCGACAGTCTCCCAAAAACTTAGAAACATAGCATTTGTACTATATATGACAGAAAAGCCCAATAGACCTCACAGAAGTGCTAGTTGGCCAGTTTGCTACAACACACACAGCCGCAAACCTTGAAGAGGGCGGTTTCTTCCCAGCGACCGAAACGTTTCAAAAACCTTCACCAACCACTGGAAAAACCATGCATTACGGAGGCCAACGCCAGCATCCGTTTCGTTTCGCTGTTTCGTCCAGCATGCAGGCAGGCCCGGCCACCACAGCCGGCCTGCGCCGCACCGGGACTGACAGCCGGTCCTGCGGTCCCGACATGCGGATGTTGGGCCCGTCCGGGCGCCGCGCCACAGGAAGTCGCGCCGCGCCCAGATAACCGGCACGCCCAACTGCCGGTCGCCACCGTCAGACTGCAGTCAGGCACAGACTGCCGGCTGCAGGCCGCCACCGTCAGACTGCAAGCCAGGCCACACAGTGCTAACTGCCGGCCCGCCGGACCGTCAGACTGCAGCCAGGCTTCAGACTTGCCAACTGCCGGCCGCAAAGGTCAGACTGCAGCCAGGCTACAGATTGCTACCTGCAGGCCGCCACCGTCAGACTGCAGCCAGGCTTACAGACTGCACTACTGCCGCCACCGTCAGACTGGCAGTCAGGCTACAGACTGCCGTCGGCCGCCACCGTCAGACTGCAGCCAGGCTAACAGACTGCCACTACTGCCGGCCGCCGCCGTCAGACTGCAGTCAGGCTACAGACTGCCGCCGGCCGCCACCGTCAGACTGCAGTCAGGCTACAGACTGCCAACTGGCAGGCCGTCACCGTCAGACGGCAGCCAGGCTACAGACTGCCGCCGGCCGCCACCGTCAGACTGCAGACAAGCTACAGACTGCCAACTGCAGGCCGACACCATCAGACTGCAGCCAAGCTACAGGCTGCCAGCTGCCGGCCAGAACGTTGGGTGCGCTTTATCGGAATGTGCTGTACGGGCCGGCGGTGTGTCCCTTCGTCGCGCTGCGTCCGTGCCACCGCAAACGCAACGAGAAAGTGGGGTTTCATGCATTGCGACACACACACACGCTTCTACACACCAAAACGATAACGCGTGGCACGCAAAACACGTGCAAAGGCGGGCGCAGCAGGCGGAGGCATGCGTCCAGAAGCATGGGGGCTGAGGGACGTGCAGTCGTGTGCAACATGCGTATTGCTCAGGATGTTGCATAGAAGCAGCGTAGGATGCATGGGCTAGGAACAGGTCGCCTGACGGGATCCAGACGAGGAGAACCTAACGCCAGGGCGAGCACACCCCTCAGTACAGCATCACCCCCAGGCGGTCCACGTCCACAATCCAGCCCACCTTAGTCCACCCCTGACCGGCGGCAGCACAGCGGTAGGAAGCCAGCAAAACTTGAAAGCCCACATCTCAAGAGCAGAGAGATTATAGTATATAGTCAGCGAAGAGATTGTCGGCGCATTCGGCACTGCGTGTGACCTGACCGCAACCATGCAGGCCACGGTCTTGCATCGTGCTGCCTGGGCCGGGGGCAACAGAAAACATCGGATAGTTCGAGAAGTGTATGGGACATTCATCGCCAAATATCAACTCAGCCTGGCGACGTGGACACGCTCTTGCAACGTGGAGCCCGGACGGCGCGCAAACAAAACAGCGTAGCGACCAGGACTCTAAAAGCTGCGTGGAAGTACACAATAAACTTGAAAAACCATCTTAAATAATCTCTCCAATGATTTGCCTGATTTGGCGCCCGGACACCACTGTGTCCCGAGCCTGAGCGCGCGGCCCGCCGGGCGTACCTTCAGCGCCGGGCACTTGGTCTCGGTAGCGCCCTCGGCTTCGGGCAGCTTGCGCAGCGCACCCTCGCCGGCCGGCTGGCTGAAGGCGGGCCAGGGCGTGTGGTGCTCGTACTTGGCCGAGCTCGGGAACAAGCGGGTGGCCGCACTCGCCGCACGCGTATACCCCTGGCGTGCGCAGCAGGCCGGCCAGCGTCAACCGCATCCGTCAAGCGCGCACGGAGGGGGCGGGGCTGGCCAGCGGCCCGCCGGAGGCTCGCTGGCGGCTACCCAGCGAGCCGCCGGGGCGGCCGGGGTCGGGGCGGGGCGGGGCCGGCGCCACGCGGGCGGCGACTCCGCCTGCCGACGCGTCATGGGCGGGGCGGGGCCAGCTCCCAAAGCGATCCCCGGCATGCAGCCCGCGCAGCTCCTCCCGAGCCTCGCCGGAGCCGTCTGGGGTATGGATGGCCCACCCCTGTGACAGGATACACGGAGTCAGGGGAAAGGAGACACTGGAGACCTGCCCCAGGGGGACCGGAGGGCGCCTGTCTGGGGGCCCGACGGGGACCTGTCTCAGAGTCCGCTGGGCCCTATCTTACCAGGCTGACAGGTGACCCATCTTGGGGCCTGGTGAGGTGCGGGCAGCAGACAGGTCAGCACTGCACAGACTGCAAGCAGGTCACAGCTACATGCAAACACAACCCACAAGACCACAACACGACCTTGTAGGCGGTGGCCGACTCCTTGCGCCGTTTCAGCGCGTCAGCACCGACGGTGGTAGAGAAGGCAGGCCATGGTGTGCTGTGTGCGTACTTGGCACTGCTGGCGAACAATGGGTGCCTGCACTCCGAGCAGGCATACACTCCTGCCAGGCAGGGGGTGCAGCACTTGGGGCACTCCTCCATTGACCACCCCATCACCTACTGATGGATGAGTGGCACACTGCTGGGACACTGGGAGTCTCCACAATAATTATGGGGCTAGGCCATGAGGAAAAAAGCAGTGTGGGATGGGCAGCAGTGAAAATGTTTTACACTTTAGAACAATTACATCTTTCAGTCCCCTTATGTGGATGGTAGGTAACTGTCAAGAATTTAACAGTTTATCAAGATGTCAACAGCAATATAATGCCAATTGATGACAATGTAACTGGGTACAACTTAGTGCAAATCATAATGACCATGGGACATGTCTAGCTTATCAAGATTCATGACTCAAGAGGATAACTAACTTACCATGCTCAAAATGATCCCTATATTTTTCACCACCAAACCATGAGCAGAATGACATCTTGCTTCCAGTAATGTTCCTTTCTGCAAAGAACAAATACATGTGGTATTCAGGAGTTGCACTCAGTGAACTCAAGGTTTCTGGTAAACACCAATACACCATACCTTGATAAAGTGTACTGATTTTAATGCTTAAATCTGTCCATGCCTTTGACTACTTCTATACCCAGAGGATACAAGACTGCTGACCTACTCTTCCTTCTCACTATATTTTGAGAAGGGAACTCAACATGCATATCACACATATTTATAGAGCACCAGTAATTGCAGGCACCATGTTAATGCCCAGTGGCCATGATATGGCTGGGGTTTGGACCTGAGACCCACATGGGAGATGGGGGAGCTAACCACTTGGCTGCTTGGCTTGGCTTGGCTGCCTTCCTGTGTTGATTATATAAGACTTGTGTTGCATAAGCACTGCGGGCGGCATCTTCTGATGCTTGGAATAAGCATATTATTGCATACCACTGCATTCTGACCAATACCTTTACCAGAACAAAGCAGTTTTACACAGCTCACTTCTAGTTTAAATAAAAACTGATGGAGTTTCACACTAGATGCTGTGTTTTTACAAAATTGCAGGCAAAACTCACAGGATTCTGGAAAATTTGTGTTTGATCTTCCAGGAAAATTTTGATTAAGTCTAAGCTGCAGGCATGAACAGGAACGCCAGGGCATGGCCACAAGAGCAACACAACTCCTTCATTAATCAAGCACAAATACTCCACATAAAAATTTACAGACTTTGACCACAACATCCCGCTGCAGAACTGTTCCCGAGTCAACCGCAGTCGAACTGTTCATGCCCTCACTGCAGGCGTTCTGCACCAAACTAACCATCCAACAAACAATACACAATAATACGACGCACTGCACTCACGTCACACCAAACCACAACGCCCCACCACTCACAACGCCCGGCGCCGTATGGCAGCGCAATGCCCATGACAGCGGGGTACCGTGCTCGCATTCCTGAAGCGTTCGCCAGCTGTTTGCCTAATTTGCGTCATATTTGCTGTCTGCTGATGTCAGAACTTTGTCGGAAAACATCACATCACTGATTTTTGAAAGACGAGCCTAACAATATTAGCACCGTGACTTGAAAGGACAAAATCGTTAACAGTACTGGCCAAGTATTGACCCACAGCTTTAGTATGGTTACATCCGCGGGCCCAATAAAAAAACAGGAAAAAGGTATTCCAACACTTATCTATGAAGACCTTGACCTTTGCAAGTCTCGTAGGATTTCTTCGACATGTCAAATGAAGTATACACAGGTGTGCTTTCCAATAATAACCTTGGTGTGGATGAGGAAAAATGCCTGAGCCAACCATCAACACACACAACAGACGGGTTCTTACCTGAGCAAAGCTCACCATCTCTATGGGGCTGGAGCCTGGAGGCCACCCTCGAGGAGTTGAAAGCCACATCCGTCGAAGAAAAGTCATCATCCAAGCGGTATCAAACAGTAAAATTTGTATGTCTAGCGGTCCCATAGGCCCAAAGCATACGGATGTTAACAGGTTATGTCGGCCGTTTAGTCGCTCCTCCAGAAAAGACCGTTTCATCCCTTACCCTGGAAGTACTAAAACGCTTCTCACTATGCAGCACTATAAGCTTTCTTGAGCTTGTGGCTATCACTAGTGGTAGACGCAAGCATACTTAGAATTGCTGCATGAGACGTTAGCTTCATGGCGCAAAAACTTACCCGTTTCTTGGCATTTGGCCAAAAGAGCATGGCGAAAGGCCGCTGAAACTTGACAGTATTTTAACCATGACTTCTTACCACGCGATAATCGCTGCACCTTGGCTAAACTATTGCACGCGTTTGCAAAGTGAGAAGTGGGACGGCGCTAGAGGGGCTGGGATCGGGCCCCGTGACCTATTGGTTGAGGTGTCGGGGCCGCGCATTCCCGAACCGGTTGCGACATGAGCGAGGATGGTGGTGCAGATGAACGGACGGATCGAAAAAAGCCGCTTATGGTGCTGCAGCTATCGGGGGGCGATCCTTCGGAGACAAACGAAGAAGATGAAGTCGCGCGTGTGGTATTGAAAAGAGATTCTGTCGGAAAAAATGTGGAGTCTCAAGCCAACCGTCGTTTGCGACTTATCATGCGTGACTTTGGCCGGTCCGATGGTCAGCACACCGACGCTGAGGTGAGTGTTTTGTTTTGATTCCTCATTTTGGTCATGCCACTGTATGCAACATGTCAATATGCACATCCCACAGGTGTTGGTGGCAGAAGCAGAAAGTTGGGGACAGTTGGGTCAATTACTGGCCAATTCGGAGGCTGTGCTGTCTGCCCCCTGCCTGGCCTGTCTGGACAGTGTTTGTGTCTGGGTGACTTGCTGGTTTAGCCAAGTAGCTTTAGGTGATAAAATAGGCCTACAAAATGTGACCCATTGGTTTTGCAAATGGTGATATATTTTGAATGCCATCTGAAATGCTTGTAAAGGTTTGCACAGTAAATATTCACTATATAGTGTACAAGCTATATATTTGCACACTCAGTAAACTGCTGTTACTTTTGTATTTTGTATTTCTTCAGACTGTTTTTCCTCAGTTTATCTTCCACACTTTACCTAAGTTTCATCATCACCACGCAAATAAAAATTACAGCATTTTGAGATTGGTTGGCATTTCTTTTCCTGGAAAGTTTTGTTCTGATGTTATCCTGTTATTAGTTAATTTGGTTTGGGAGTGTGCAGTGTGGGAAATCATCAACTTTCCATTTTGGGAAACTGGCTGCTGGTGTCATCAACAAGTAAAAGCATGCACGAGAAGCACAGTGGTAGACTTTAGCAATGCATGTGGGAAATCATCAACTTTCCATTTTGGGAAACTGGCTGCTGGTGTCATCAACAAGTAAAGGCATGGAGGAGAAGCACAGTGGTAGACTTCAGCAATGCATGTGGCTCCCACCTGACAGTCTACTGTTGAAGCCCCATTCAGGCATGGTGATAGTTTGTCAACAGAGATTTGAGCCCAGTCTGCCCAGTAGAGAACCTGAAAGATTTGGCAATGGTGAGTGCCAGAAGGGCATCAGTGTTGACCATGTCTGGTTTGATCTCATGTGGATTGTATAAATGATAATGATGTCTTTAGCCACATGACTTGATAATCATGATTCATTCAAATAGTACTCAAGTATGCCATTCCTGGGTGTGATATATGTCTCTGCGAGGTTGGATCATCTGATTCTACTTGTGCCCATATTTGGAATCAAGGGTCTTTGTTACTAGCATGCATCTATGATGCTCCCCTGGCTGGTGGAGCCTGGGTGGTAAGCCAATGAAGAACTGACTTAGGTGCATTTGTTCACAAGCAAGTTGTCACTGTTAACCAGAGCGTGCTTAGTTGGCGCACACCAGTGATGCCACCTCAATGGGTGCAGGTGCTGCCATAAGTCTATGAAGAACTGGGCCCTGGGCATGCTTGCATTTTATACCTTGACATTTTGCTAAGCTCAGTTGTCAACATCATAAGCATTAAGGCCATGGCACTGGCGGAAGCAACTAACGTTTGCGAGCCTCCCATAACTTGTGAGGGGAAGGCGGCCTGAAGGCGAAAGGGCATTCCGCCAGTTTCCATCATTCAGTGTTTTATCTGGGCTGTTATCTAATCGCCTAGCGGCTACGTGCCGTGAGCATCCCGGCTACCTGCCGTGAGCAGCCCGGCTACCTGCCGTGAGCAGCCCCGCTACCTGCCGTGAGCAGCCCGGCTGCCTGCCGTGAGCAGCCCAGCTACCTGCCGTGAGCAGCCCGGCTACCTGCCGTGAGCAGCCCGGCTACCTGCCGTGAGCAGCCCAGCTACCTGCCGTGAGCAGCCCGGCTACCTGCCGTGAGCAGCCCAGCTACCTGCCGTGAGCATCCCGGCTACCTGCCGTGAGCATCCCGGCTACCTGCCGTGAGCAGCCCGGCTACCTGCCGTGAGCAGCCCGGCTACCTTCCGTGAGCAGCCCGGCTGCCCGCCGTGAGCAGCCTGATGCACCGGTCTGATCCGTGTCGCGCTTGACCGTGGAGTGGAGTTGCTGGGTTGCGATGTAAGAGCAGTGCGTTATATTGTGGTGTGTTGAGTTACGGGTGCGCGCGCCTGGGCGTACCTGGGCGCGCCTCTGCGGCTGACCGCCGGGGCGGCGGCCGACCTGCCGCCCCGGTCGGCGGTCACCGAGACGCCTGTCGACTGGTACCGGTGAGAGCGCGCGAATATCACACTGGTGGCAGCGAGTGGGGGCGCGCCAAAATGGAGTCGAGGGAGAAATTGGCGTGGGGTGATGGCGAAGAGTTGGAAGACTTCTTGCGACGGTTGGATGCCTGTCGGCTGGCGGTGGGGGATAAGAAGAAAGCAGTGGGAAAGGCGCTTCTTGGCCTCGGTTCGCGGATTGCGGTGATGGATGCGCTGTCAGAAGAGGACACAAGGGATGTTCGGAGCCTGAAGTCGGCACTGCGTCGGGAGTTCGGTCCGTCCCAGAGCTGGTATCAGGACCGGCTCAGTCAGCGACGTAAGCAGCCCTCCGAGACACACGGTATGTTTCTTTCCGATTTACTCTCTTTGTTCCGGGGTGCGTTTCCTGACTCGGAGCCGGACACGTCTGTTGGAGCCGCTCTCTTGAGGAGTCGTTTCTTGGATGGCATCTCGTCAGATGTTGCGGCACAGTTACGTCTGTTGTATCCCAGCATTGACTTTGATAAGATGCCGATACATGCCAAACAAATTGAGGAGGCTGTCCATCGCTCGCCGGCTAAAGTCAGTCAGATTGTGAAGGGGTCTTCAGTACAGAAGGGAGCGGTTGAGCATCTCCGGGACGAGGTAGCCGGGCTCTCTCGTGCCGTGTCCGAGATCCGCGCGGCGGCCGGGCCGGCAGGCCGGCCGGCTTGCGCTATCGCCGGGGGCGGCGAGACGTCATTCGGGGCCGGGCGGGTCAGCCAGCGGTCGCCTCAGCGGGGCGGGGGACCGCCACGTGACCCGCCCAAGGTCAGCTGGGCGGGCGGCCCACAGGAGCATGCACAGGGGGAGGGCAGCGGTGCGGCAGGGCCGGGCTGGCCGGCGCCCGGGTCGGGCCGGACTGGTTTCCGGGGCAGACAAATGCGATGCTGGACATGTGGTTTTTCTGGCCACCGGCAGGTGGAGTGTACTCGGGCTCCATTGGGTCGCGGCCGGGGGCGACCGGCCCCCGTTGTCTGCTGGCGTTGTCGTGAGTTTGGGCACACTCAGCATGATCAGGCTTTAAACTGAGGAGGGTTACTACCGCTGGGCCGGGGGTAACCGGATCAGAGGTCAAAGGTCCCCACAATTCGCAGGTCCGTTCGCTTCATGTGCATGGTCGCATTGCGAAAGTGGATTGTACGTGGTTGGTTGATACGGGAGCAATGGTTACCTGTGTGTCGGCATCTCTTCCGGGCATCAGCTCGTTACCACTCAATCCAGCGGTTGTACAACCGATCGCAGCCAATTACACAACATTGAAATGTGTTGGAATGGTTTCGGCAAACGTTTTGATCGGCCCGGCAGCGATAAATGACGTTCAGGTATTGGTGGTGGAAGATTTGTCCGCTCCGGCCATCCTTGGAAATGATGTTCTGGCGTCGTTTAAGTCCTTCCAAGCAAACTATAGCGAGCGGGTGCTGTATCTAGGGGGTTTTCGCGTACCGCTGGAGGAGCGGTTAGATGGCATCCGATGCAGCCAGTTTCCGTGCGTCTTGCATCTGATTTCACAGTGGAACCATTTTCTGGAAGGATCATTTACGCACAAGCTGAGGACTTCGGGTCGACTTCTCAAGATGTTATGTTTGATCCGGATCCTCGACAAATGGAGCGTTATGGAATTTCTGTTAGTCCTTGCCTGGCTCGGTCTGGGGTAGATAACCGCATTTCAATCCTCGTGGAAAACCCCGGACCAGATTCTGTTCGTCTTTATATCCATTCCGTTCTTGGCAAGGTTGAAGACATGACGACGGCTCCATTGGGGGTGACAAGCCTAGGCGGGTCGGACCGGTTAACGTTGATTTGGCGGAAGCGGAAGTCAGTGAGGTCAGTCTCAGGAATCTCAAAAGTCTATTTGGCAGATACCGGGACGTGTTCGCAAATTCTGATGCTGAGCTGGGTCGAACACATCGTGCCCATTTCGGCATAAACACCGGCGTGTCGCCACCTGTTGCAGTTAGGCCAAGAGGAACCCCATATCATTTGAGACCAGAAGTGCGGAGGCATATTGCTGACATGGAGGCCCGTGGGCTAATCCAGCGTTCCAATTATCCTTGGTCGTCACGTATTTTGATGGTCAAGAAGTCAGATGGTTCTTTTCGTTTCGCGGTGGACTTCCGTGCGTTAAACAGCAAGACGATGGATGAGGTCTGCTACGTACCATCTGTCAAGGAATGCCTGGATAGCTTGGCCGGGTCCCAGCTGTTTACCACGCTGGACCTGAACTCGGCTTATTGGTAGGTCCCAGTGGCCCCGGAAGATCAGAAAAACGGCATTTACAACAGAGGACGGGAAATGGAATTCCGGGTGATGCCATTTGGGGCTAAGGGTGCGCCTGGCTGCTTTTCTCGCCTGATAGCAGAGGTATTGCGGGGCCTGACTGGAAACAGGGTTACTGCATATCTCGATGATATCACTGTTGGTGGAAGAACTGAAGAGGAGCACCTGCACCTGCTGCAAGCCGTGTTGGAAAGACTGAGGTGGGCTGGTTTGACTGTAAAGAGCAAGAAAGTGGTGCCCTGCAGGCGGCGGATAAGGTTTCTTGGGCTCGTTGTGTCATCCTCAGGTCTCGAGCCCGATGCGGAAAAGGTCGAGGTTATCAAGAATTGGCCGCGACCACAGACAACCAAACAGTTGAAACAATATCTTGGGCTTTGCAATTACTACAATGAGTTCGTGCCACATCTCCAGGTTGTAGCGGCTCCGCTGCATAAAATCTCTGGAAAGACCAAGTTCCAGTGGGATGAACGGAAAGAAAATGCTTTTCAAGAAATGAAACAGGCCCTCAGGATGTTCACCCTCTTGCATTTACCAGACATGCAGCAAGAATTTGAGGTTAGCACGGATGCATCGGATTTTGGTTTGGGCTGTGTTCTATCGCAGAGGGACCAATCAGGGGTCGACAGGCCGGTAAGTTTTGCCTCGAAGGCCTTTTCAGATCATGAAAAGAATTGGCACATTCGAGATAAGGAGGTGTTTGCTTTTGTTTTCGCTTTGAGGAAATTCAGGCCGTACCTGCTTGGAGCGCGATTTAAGTGGTTCACTGACCACTGTGGGCTTCAATGGTTACGCAACACCAAAGATCCGAGAGGGCGGTTCGCACCCTGGGCTGAAGAGATCGAGGAGTTCAATTTTGCAATACATTTCCGTCGCGCCGAGAAAAACCAACATGCTGATGCTCTGTCTCGCGTGATGATCTCCGCAGCGCAGCTAGCGCCACAGTCTCAGGCACGCGATCTGATCCACCTGGTGGAGGAGGGCATGCGAGATGCTCAGGAGCAGGACGAGGCGTCTAGGGCACTGCGCATGAAGGCACGTCTCAACAGAGTGCAGGGCCCACACAGCCGTCGGTGGCGACAGCGTGGTCTTGAACCGGTCATTGATGAGGGGAGCGGTTTGTTAGTCGTCGTCAAAGCAGGCAAGAAGTACACGCTGGTCCCGAAAGGTCTCATTCCACGTGTTTTGAGCCTCAAACATGACGAGTTCGGACATTGTGGTGCTGGAAGAACCTGTCGTCTGCTGAAGCAGGCTGGATATATTTGGTGGGAAATAGAGCAGGATGTCAGGAACTACTGTAGGAGCTGTTTGGTATGTGCACGCTCAAACAACACGCGGCGTCGTTTCACGGCGCCGTTGGAAAGGACGAGGCAGCCCACAGCTCCTTGGCAGCACGTCGCTGTTGACCTGATGGGGCCGTTCGGACGACAAACCACAGGACAGGGTAATCGGTACGTTCTAGTCGCACTGGACCTTCTGACCAAAAGTGTCGAGTTGGCCGCCATTCCAAACAAATCGGCAGAAACCGTCGCCAGCTCGCCGATCGAGAGTGTCGTGTACCGTCACGGTCTCCCGGAATCCATACTGACAGATCGTGGTCTGGAATTTAACAACCAGCATCTGGCGGTGGTGACACAATCGATGGGCATGGACAAAAAAGGGTTAGTGCATTCCATCCGCAGTCGAATGGGGCCGTGGAAAGGGCGAACCAGACAATCGGTGCCCTGATCCGTCGCAATGTGCAGGAGTCGGGATGCGAGTGGGACAAGTGTCTGGGTGTTGTTAGATTTCAGCATATGTTGGCTCCGCACAACGTCACTGGTAGGTCGCCCTTTTTTCTCCAGTTTGGTCGCCACCCACGCACTCCTGAGATAGCTCGAACGGAGGAAAGTTCAAGCCGTTTCACCACAGAGCAGTCTTGGGCCAGAAACCTTGTGAAAACGTTGGCGAGAGCTCACGAGGAGGTAGTCAGACGGGAGCAGAAGACAAAACAGGAAAGAGTGGATGCTCGTCGAAAAACGGCAAATATGGTCCCTTATCGTTTGGGGGATCGGGTGTTTGTGAAGATTCCACAAAAACCAGGAACGCCAGGAAAAGTTCGATCCCCTTGGGATGGCCCCTTTGTAGTGATCAGCCGCCGACAAGGAAACACACCGCATCAAAAGAGAGGACAACTTTAGGCATCGTTTCATACGTCATTTCGATCAGTTGAAACCTGCGGGAAGAAGGCAGCCGCATCTGACGAGCCAGGGTGACAGGAACCAGGGGACAGAGGCAGATGAGGGGACAAATGACGCGGACAGATGGCCAGCGTTGACGTGGAATCAAGGGATGTGGGACCCAGAAAATGACTCGGAATCTGAAAATGACGAGTCTGAAAAGCCCGAGAGACACGTTGATGAAACTGAGGTGGTTGATCGCTCCAATGAAGCGCGAGAAATCCTCCACAGCCGCCGCAGCGAGAGGCGAGGTCGTCCTCCTGAGCGATACGGCGAATGGACCGTGTAGTCTGCACAGCGTGTGTGGGGGGGGGGAGGGGGGGGGGAGAAAGGTGACACCGATGGACGCGCAAGCTGGAGAGGGGATATTGTGGTGTGTTGAGTTACGGGTGCGCGCGCCTGGGCGTACCTGGGCGCGCCTCTGCGGCTGACCGCCGGGGGCGGCGGGCGGCCGACCTGCCGCCCCGGTCGGCGGTCACCGGGACGCCGGTCTTCGGTACCGGTGAGAGCGCGCGAATATCGCCATATTAATGTGTATTGGGGGGGGGGGGGGGCTCGGATTCTTGTCGTGCCCTTGCGAACAGGAGACACGAGGGCGCTGCTCGGTGTCGTACATAAAACCGCGCCCGTTCTTGCGACGGGCTGTTGCATACCACCAGCAGCATGAAAGGCCTAGTTTTTGTCGGATTTCAGTCCGTGGTTCGTATTGAGGAAAACCTTATAAAACGGTCACCGAAATACCTGCAAAATGTGTACATTGACGACGTCTGAAGGACGAGACGTCTAAGGTTTGTATATTTCTGGTGTTTTTTTTTTTAGTGTCGTACATTGTAGCTGCCAGTTGTAATGTTTTGCTTTGCAGGGCGGGATTATACAATTATACGCCAAAAATTTACGATTCACGCCAACAATTACGACGTCCAGCTGTGCATCGCCGCCTCAGTGTGAATGTTGTTGCAGGCGTGGAAGGAGGTCCAGGAGGAGCTGGGGCCGGACGGCAGGAGGAAGGAAGGTAGGTCTCCAGCCACGTCCTGTATGACGTGTCACCGCCTGGTGCCCCGGTGCGCCGCGCGCCGTGCTTCATCCCTCGGGTGGACGCTCGCGGCGGGGCGCCCGCGCGCCGCTTCCATGTTTGGTGGCCTGTTGAGGTCACGTGGTGTTATCGGCGGCGAGTTCTCGTCGGGGGATTATTGGTTACACTTGTTAGGGCTGTTGGCACTGACTTTCTGAACAAGTAAGGCTCAGACTCGCTTACAGTGTCATGCGCGGGCTCCATCCTGGTCGTGAGCTGAGTCATTGTTCCATTTTACGGCATTTGACGCCTCGAGAAATCCGGTTAGTCTAACAGGAGTGAGATCGCAGCTGAGAGAGTTCAGAATGATGGCATAAGTTGTTTTTCTGTGATGTCTTAATCCCCGCTGATCGTTACGTTCTATTTGGCACTCCCCCAAGACATTTAAGGCACCTGGCATTATTTCAATGCATTTAACCGCGGACTGTCAATTTTCGCGTAAGGAGAGGAAAAGCTAAGTCATTTTCGCAGAGTTGTCACTTCTTCCGCCAGTCCACACGTACTCATTGGTTAGCAGCAATTGTTTCGTTCGTTAATCATCTCGGGTATACGAAGCAAACGGTTTATGCACGGCATACGTTGCAAAGAAAACCCGGTCTGCCGTCGCTTTCCCAAAGCAAAGAAATTCGGAAGAACTTTGTTATTTGTCCAGTCGCTATTTTACCTACAAAATCCCACTCAAGTTAAGTTCACCAGTATTTTCCGATTTCATTAACCGCCCCGGTAGTCCTGAGCACTGCTTCCTAAACAGTCGCCGAACGTCACGGATGTTTCAAACGTCGTTCTCTGGAAGGAAGAAAAAACAACCTCGAACCTTAAAGATACCCCCCGCCCCCCCCCCCTGTTCAGGTTGCCATGTCGTAATTAACAAACCCAGAGGCCTAAGATAAGGTACCATTCACGAATGAGGGCTCCGGTAGTCGCTCCTTAGCTCTGGTCGATGCTCCTTAGCTCTGGCCGATGCGAAGCAGAACCGAACCACTGACTCGGGAGGCATTACTGAATCAGCCACCCAGCGAAGAGCCACAACATCTATGTCGTTGCATTCGTTCCGTGGTTGATGCCCTATCATATGCTTGCTAGTTAAACCTGGGCAAATAATAAACATGCTCACAGCGTAGACGTGGAAGCCCACTCTTGCTTTGAGAATTGCGGTCCAAATCAATCACCCCGGTATGCCTGAACTGCCAACTAAATCAGCTAGATTTAAAAAATCAGGGATCAGAGAAATCCACTCCCAGGCTGCAAGGGCCTGCGGACTCTGTATTTAAATCACGATTCGGATGCTAAATACGCAACAACACCCAGCACTTGCGCAGGATAGATTTAACCCCCCGACCTCAACCGGCCGTCCCTCCCTCCAGTCTGCGGCCGCTCCGGTCCGCACACGCGACCTCGGCCAGGTCACGTGGACAATGGCCCGGAGGCATAAACACAGCCGACCGCGCCGGTTAACCGCTGACCAGGCCGCGCCCACGCGACCGCACGACACACACACCCCTGATTCTCATGGGTCACAACAGCGCATTACGGATCATTACAACAATAGCGCTGCGGCGCTCTCCGCAGGCGGGTGCTCCGGCGTAGTGGCACCAGCTCGTCCCTGGCTGGCCCAACCGCACGGTCTGCCGGCTCAGGCGCGCCTACAGCCGCGCCAGCACCGTGCTCCACCTCTGGTTGACAGTCCACACACGGCACAGACTCCTACCACGATTCCGTTTCGTGTGACTCATTGAAGACCTGCCGAGCTTGTAAGCCAATAAATGAACAATTTCGTTCTCCTCAGACGATTCGCCGGGTTCGAACGGGCGTGGTGACCTCAACGCAACGTACTATGCACAGCCTTTGAGGTAAAATGAACGGCACTGCATGTTGGCTGTTCCAGAACTGCACTGAGAATTGTGCGCGGCGTCGACGACAGTTACGTATCAGATCTGTCAGCCCTTCTGATTCCACCTTTTCGTGAAGATTCATGCTGGTTCCTAAATGACTGACCGATCAGGAGGGCATTGTTGACTGACCGATAAGGAAGTCACTGTAGAGGGCACCGACCAGGAAAGGGCCGATCACTGCGCCGACCCGAGCAAGGCGAAAAATAAGTAAGTCCCGTGCGATCGGCCACCCCTGCAAACCCGTGCCAGTCAATGCCCATGTTCACGGGAGCGGACTAGTGATGATGACGGGCCAAGGCATCATCCGTTCACTTGGTGGCCTCACACCACGAAACCAGGCTGCGAGGGAAAGAGGGAGGGACTGGTCGAGCCCCGAATACGGCGACATGGTCGAGTCCGTCGGTGTGCTTGGAATGGTGCCTCGCTTTGGTACCGATTCCTGGACGGGAGGGGCAGCTAGACCTTAAGACTCGCTTCTTGTAGAACGTTGATAGAGTGCCCGGGGTGATTCAGGATGCCGCGAAGGGGCGGACAGTGGCTCATGTAGCTCAATGGTTGGCTCGGCGGTCGACTCGCGTGCAACGGAACCAAAACGGGGCAGCATATAAAATCCTCTGGAGCGCGGGCAGCAACGCTTGACGGTGAAGCAGAGGCACCCGATGGCGAGGACGCCGGCAATGATAATGAATGTCCAAGAGACTGAAAAAGCGACAGGGCTGTCGTCCATGACGCGTGCAAGCGGCTGAGCTTCTATTTTGTTGAAGTAGGCATCTGTTGTCATGCCTGTTAACTGCAATGGAGACAGTGCAGAGACATTGAGGCGGGATGTATTAATAAGCGCGTGTGCCCAGGTAGAACGCTAGATGGGAAGTGGTCTGTCCGTCAGAAGTTTTTCGGCCCGAAATTGTGGTAAATCTATATGGGTTTCACTCGCGTAATATGGTGGCAGATAGAACTAGTCTTACGAAGCTGAGCATCACATCTCCAGAGTAATGCTGTCAACGGCTTTTGTAATGGCGAAAGTCTTGCCTCTTTTGGTGGAGGCGCAGGAAGTTGTGATGGTGATTGGTTGACGTGACGCCAGTAACCATTGGCCGTGTGTCAGATAATAGGCCTCAGGGGCATTGTTTGTGGCTTGGACGACTGGGTCGCGTTAAGTTGTGATTGACGCCGGGTCCTGGCGGAACGGGGCAACAACTCAGGATGTGGAGGATGCTAGGGAATGTGCGGACTCACGCAGCTGGAATGTGCGGACTCACGCAGCTGGAATGTGCGGACTCACGCAGCTTGCAAAAAGGGGAGGCGAGCCAAAATACAGTTTTTCATGTCCGTTTCTGAAGGTTGCGTATAATGTTGTCTGATTTATGAAACGATCAGAAAATGAGGTTCGTTTGGGTAGTACCCGAGAGATATGTTGCGGGTCTGATGGGGTACTTGGATGGGAAGAATCGATACACATCGAAGACGTGTTGAGCGTGTAGAAGTGGGACGTAAAACAGGGCATAAGTGTCTCTGTTTTTGACTAGTTTGGTCTTGGCTGCTCTGACATAGTTACTAACGTCTGTTTGGGAGAATGACAGGGCAAAGTTATGTGTCAAGCTTTTTTTACTATTTTCTTCAGGATTCGTCCAAATTCTTGGGTAGGGATGATATTTGTATGTCATATACCGGCTTGGGCGAGGGCTAGTTTGGTTGTTAACGTTTCTAGTTCGGCATGTAGGCGGTGGACGCTTCGCGTCACCTGGTGGACGTGTTCTGCCAGGAGGTTGATATGTAATATGAGGGAGAAGATTTTGCTCGTGTTCCTGGACGTATTTAACAGACCCGGGTAAGCGATCTGCATTCTTTGACAGCGGTCTTGAGGGAAAGGAGCTCACGTCGATTCTGATTGGTTGCGACTCGAATGGAATTTATAACTTGAAGGGTCCCTTAAATGTATGGGCCATTGCCATCTCCTTTGCACTGATAATTTGCACATTTTCAGTTAGATGCTTGATTTCTTTTTCTGTGGCGGTTCCAAATAAGCAAGACATTATACTGTCTACGCCGTTGGTCAATTCCCGCTTCGCGCGTTTTGTTTGAATGCCCGATGGGTTGAGAATGTCCATAAACGTGTGAGAGAGGTCCGATTCTTCGTGCTTCAGCTGTTTCACTGATTTGGATATGTGGTTAATGGACATTTTAGCACAGCATAATTTGGGTAGGGGCGATTACCATGGGTGCTTGGTAGATTTTTGGTGGTGTCCGCGATCTTTTTGGTGGCTCTTTTGATCGTCCCCATCTGCCGTCGGTAAGGGGTCATATTAGTTGAAAGCGTGATGGCTCAGGAACTCTGGCTTGGGCACGTTTTCCAGAGGGCGATACCGCTCCTCCATCTTCACCGGAGATGGCCGGAGGAGCACTTCGTGACAGTCGTCGCGTCCCGCAGCGCCACGCCCGTCTCTCACGCCGGCCCGACCGCGCCCGCGCCCGCGCCCGCGACCGCGACCGCGTTCCTTGCGCGCCCGCAGGAGCAGCTGGCTCAGCCTGGGCGGCGGCTGGCTCAGCCTGGGCGGCGGCGGCTGGCTCAGCCTGGGCGGCGGCGGCTGTCCCAGCCTGGGCGATGGCGGCTGGCTTAGCCTGGGCGCCGGTACGCCGGTCCACGTTCCACCCTCTGCGGCCTCTGAGGAAGGCGGCCACTCTGGGCACGGTGGACTGGCCGGCGATGAGCTTGCCAATTCCAGCGTCGAGGGCCATGTCCACGGTGGCCAGCTCCGCCACCGTCCACTGCGTGCCCGAGCGCGCATGGGCGCGGTACTGCGCTTTACGCGCCATCCAGTAGGGCTTGATTGATCGGTCGATTAAGAGCCCCGTTGCCTCCTCGACACCGAAGATCTTGTCCGAGCCGTCTTGCTCGGTGCCTGGCGCGGACTCCTGGGTGGCCTCGGTGGCAGGCGGCGAGGCTGGATTGTACGCAGTGTCGCAGGTCATGGCCGCGACATCATCGTCGCCTGGCGCTTCGGCCACATCTGGCTGCCCCTGCTCTGGCTGGTCCTGTTCTTCTTCGGA